CAGGCGCCAGGCTGGAGTGCAGTGGCGCGATCTCGGCTCACTGCAGCCTCTGCCTCCCGGGTTCAAGCAATTCTCCTGCCTCAGCCTCCCGAGTAGCTGGGACTACAGGCACACACCACCACGTCCAGCTAATTTTTGTATTTTTAGTAGAGACAGGGTTTCACCATGTTGGCCAGGATGAACACTAGTATAACAGTATGTTTGTCAAACTTCATATTCTCTTTTTTTGATTTTTACAATTCAGTGAATTGGGCAATTGGACACCCAGAGTGCCCCACTTTTAGACGAGGAAAATACAGATCAGAGGAGTTAAGTAACCTGTGTCTTAGCTTTACTAAAGGGCATGTAAATGGCAGCTTTAGGACTAGAACCCACAACTTCTAGCAGATCTTTCTGTGGTATTTGGTCAAATGAAATTGTCCACAGTAACTTTTGTATTAAGATAGTTTGTATTTTAGTGTAAAACAGATTGGTATTAACCATTGAACTTTATTTTTTCTTTATGTGATTTTTGTAAAGGTTACAGTTTTTTTCCTAACAGGGTTAGTTTTGACAGCATCAGGAATTTCAGTTAATAAAGGAAAATGTACTATGTGCTATATTATTCTGCTTATGTTATTTCATTGTGTTGCTTTTGCTGTTTCAATACTTAATTCTTTTGCATGATCTTTATAATTTATGTTAAAATGACCTTTCTGTATATAGGATTAATAGGAGGACATAAATACTAGACACAACGTTTTTTCTCCAGCTGTTTTTCCCAAAAATAGATTCTCGTGTATACTCAAAAAAATTAGTTTTACCTTATATATTTATAATGTAATATTTTTTCAGGTTTGTGTTTAATTCACCTTTTTTAAAATTTTAGAGTACTCGAAGTCGACAAGGAGAAGAAAGAGATCCAGAAGTTGAACTAGAAGTAATTGAACTTATTTTCTGGTAGATAATATCAGAGAAGTCTACCTGTTAATGTTGTAGTTTTATGAACTGCGTTATAATTTATGGAAGCCCTTTTTAAGGTATTTCTTTAAAAATTGGACATTGCAAGGGATTTTATTTCCCTTGTATTTATTTTGATAGAATGATAATACAGCTCTTTCAAATACATGATTTCAGAACTCTTCAGTATCCCTGTGAGGTAGGAAGAAAAATACGACCTTTCACAGATGATGCATCACAGCTCCACAGTATCAAAAGCTGCTGAACCTTTGTCAAGCTGCTAAATTTTCTGACTCTGCTTAAAGCACATTTTAATCAGTCCTTTTTAAAATGCAGACAAAATCAGTTTTTTTTTGAGATAATAGTGTAACTTTTGACTTAGGAAAAGATCAGTCCTGTTGATAGAGAAACTTTACATTCCTATTTCAAAAGAATAGGCTTTGTTTTCTGCAGCTCATTATTCAGGCATTTAAAAGCCTATAAGTGCAGGTGTCTGTAATGTAGTAAATTATTAACATTGAGATTTAGGAGTTAATATATTTAAAATGAAATTCCTTTCATGGGCTTTGCATCTTTTAACTTCTAGTCCTTTCTTGTTTTTTTAGCACCAACAATGTTTAGCAGTATTCAGCAGAGTGAAATTTACTCGTGTGTTACTGACAGTGCTTATAGCCTTTACTAAGAAAGAGGTAAGGACAGTTACATATCTATCTGTTTTAGTGATTTTGGATGTCATGCCTGAGTGAAACAGTTCTGAAATTTTTCCCTTGAAGTGCTCCTGATCTCAGATATACAGAACTCAGCATTTGGTATATTTAAATCTGAGTAACCCTCATGACTTTCTCAAGAAGTCACATGAATTTTATATTCTATTAATTATTTGTAAATAATACATTGGAAGCTGAAATTGCTTGTAGGTTGTCATATTTTGTGAATTGAAAAGGAGGAAGTAAAAATTTTATGTAGGCCTGTTCTTACCTTCAGTTACATAATTAACTCTTGGATTTGTATAGAACCAAAAGTGAGCCCTAGATAGTGAAGATTTTTCTTTTTGTATTTTTGCACGAATTCAAGTCAATTACATATTAATTTGTGAATAGTTTATAAATGTGAGTAGAAATCCAATTTTTACCAGTAACTTCTGTAATTCTATTTTTCCCCATTTTTTCCCCCACCTTGATGAATGACATAGTAGCATTGTTGAAAAAATTTTCATTTTCTAGTTGATTGCATCTTTGGTTTTTATTGTTAAAAAAATTATTAAAGTAAACCAGAAATATTTTCTATTGTTATTTTATTTTATTTGAGACAGAGTCTCACTGTGTCGCCCAGGATGGAGTGCAGTGGCGCGATCGCAGCTCACTGCAATCTCTGCCTCCTGGGTAGCCTGTCTACAGGCTACAGTTCTCCTGTCTCAGCCTCCTGAGTAGCTGGGTCTACAGGCGTGTGACACCATGCCCAGCTAATTTTTTGTATTTTAGTAGGGACGGGGTTTCACCATGTTGGCCAGGATGGTCTTGATCTGCTGACCTCATAATCTGCCCACCTCAGCCTCCCAAAGTGCCGTGATTACAGGCATGAGCCACCATGCCTGGCTGATATTTTCTATTATTTTAAAATGAATCCTACATGTTATAGATGTGAGTTAAAAAACATTTTCTATCCTAACAGGATCTGGACATCCTGTATTAAGTGCATAGTTTATGAAAACCAATGTCATTACAGCAAGCATTTAATTTCATTATTGTTTATAGGATTTTCCTATTTAATGTATATCTTTCAGTGAAAGAATATGTAAGAATGTTTTTGGTGATTTATTTGCTAGACCAGTGCTGTTGCAGAAGCTCAAAAATTGATGGTTCAAGCAGCAGATCTTCTTTCTGCCATTCATAATTCATTGCATCATGGCATCCAGGCCCAGAATGATACTACAAAAGGAGGTAATTGTTCAGTTTTCTCCTACTTTCTTTTCTTTTTTTCCATCCAAAATATATAGTACTTAGCTTATACTAAAATTTCTTTCAAGTCAGTCTTGTACCTTGGAATGTTTTACTCCACAGACGGTGTTTAGGTTCTCCTCTCTATATATTAGACTAAAAAACAATACTGTAGAACTTGGCCATTTCCTGTGTATGACTGTTTAGACTCGGAATATGTATCCTCTCTTATGTCCATGCTGAGATGTTATAGCCTGGGAGCTGCTTCTTGCTGCCCAGAAAAGCCAGTGCAATGAGAACAGCAGAGAAAGAGTTTAATTATCATGGGGTCAGCCAAGCGGAAGGATGAGAGCTGTTTCACAAATCTTCCTCCCTGAGAATTCGGGCACTAGAGTTGTTGAAGAATAGGTTTGGTGGGCAGGGGACGAGCAAGGAGAGGAGGTTAGTTTCAGGAAGGGACAGTTATCTTTATTTTAAATTGTAAACTAAATTTCTCCCATAGTTGCTTAGTCTATACCAGGAATGAGCAAAGACAGTTAGCTTGTGAGTTTAAAAGCAAGAAAGGTTTCTCTTATAATTTTTGCAAAGACCATTTCAATGTTAACAATGAATCACATTTTTGATCACCTCTTGTCTTTACTCTTTTGTCTGAGAGATCATCGCCTCCATTATACAGTCTGCTCTGAACAACAGTCAGGCCTAGATAATATCTTTGTTTTGGAGAAACTTTCAATCTGCGTTTTTCCTCTGCTCACATACCACAACAGTCATCAGTACAGAGGACTTGTGTGATCAAAATGTTTCACACACACCAGCTGGGTGCCTTCTAATTAACCTCCCGTTGAAGGAGTGTTTGTGGTGGTTTGTGTGGAAAATACAAACTCCAACCTCCACTCTCTACCTGGGGGTAATGCCAGGTCCCACAGGTTGAGGACTCAGTCCCCAAGACAGCTCTTCCTTCCCAAACACCAGTTGCCAAGTCTGAGTTTCCAGAACTTCTGACCCACTGGCTTTAAGTTGGGATTCCCAGGACGCCATCTTTGGTTTCAGCTAATTTGCTTTAGTGACTCACAGAACTCTGGGAAACACTTACTGTGTTTACTGGTTTATTGTGGAGGCTATTATGAAGGATGCAGAAGAGATGCATAGGATAAGGTATGGGTAAGGGTCCCGGAGCTTCAGTGCCCTGCCTGGGTATACTGTCTCCTAGGAACTTCCACATTTTCAGATACCTGGAAGTTCTCTGAACTGTGTCCTCTTAGTTTTTATGGAGGCTTCTTCACATAGCACGATCGATTAAACCTTTGGCCGTTGGTGATCAACTTGACCTTCAGCCTCTCTCTCATCCCTGGAAGATGTGGGGTGGGGCTGAAAGTCCCAACCCTCTAATCGTGCCTCTGTCTTTCTGATGATCCACTGCACCCTGAAGCTGTCAGTCATTAACATACCAAAAGACAGCACTTGGAGAATCTAAGGATTTTAGGAGTTATATTAGGAAACAAGAGGGAAGACCAAATATATATTTCCATACCCTCTGTGTTCTCACTGCATTCACACAGGCCTTTGTTAGATTTTTTTTTAGTACATTGTATTTTAGTTTTTTACCCATTTGTCTTTGTTTGAGATTTTGAGCACTTTTAGGCCAGACACTCCCTTCTTGTGTATCACCCCGCTTGGCATGTTGTTGGCACTCAGATTTTATTTATGAACTATGCCTTAAAATAAAAAAAATAGTGTACCTCTGTTATAAAGTTTACAGTGGGTTAACATTTTAGATAATGTGAGGCAATTTTGATTGTTCTTAAAACTCATTAAAATGAGATTATATCCTTTTTTCCACCTCAACTACTTGGCCATTCCAGTAGAGATGAAGAGAAATTTATATGTTTCGAATTAGTGTTACCTGGTTGTCAGTCTCGTGACCAGAAAGGCAAGTTTTTACTGATTCACACCTCTTTCCTTTTCCGTATCTACCCTCCATTTAGAGACGGGCATTGTGTTCCCCTTCCCGTAAATTTTTTTTTCCTTACTAAAATGTTAGGTAACAGAGCAACCCAGAAGTTCATTTGGGTTAGGAAATCAGTATTGTCATAATTTTTATGTTTCTACTAGTTGCGCTGAATTTGTGTTTGTTTGGTTATAGGATGAGTGACTAGGTAGCATTCTGTACCATAGGACATAACAAGGTGGTTATGCATAGAAACTTAGTAGTACATGTTTACAGAGAGGGATAAAATGTCCACAACTCTTAAATGCTTTGAAATCTACAACAATAATACTTTTATGAAAACCACTATATAATAAATGACTTCAAAGTAATTTGTTTGTTGGTTTGTTTATCAACAAGATGATGTGAAGCAAGAATCCTCCAGATGATTGGAATCTGGATGTTTCTTTTTGCCGTGTCCGTCTACTCCTGGGCTATTCTGCTCTATATCTGTAATCAAGCAAACTCAGATAATAATTGCCATGGGATTGTTAGTAGCTACAGCTTGGACTTTCCTATATTTCAGACCAGTGCTAAAAATAGCTTGCACATGTAATCTTCTCTATTACTCTGATTTTATAGTCTGCTCAGACAGACTTCAGGAAAGTTGTTTACATAAAATTGGCTTGAATAAACCTTTAAAAAATGTAATCTTACGACTAAGCAGGTAAAATTTTAAATTTAAGGCATACTCATCCTGTGCTTATGTGTATAATACCTTTTAGCTGGCTTAATTTAAGTTTGTAATTATCCCTTAATCATAAGCCATGCAATTCTATAATAAAAAAGTAAATGGTTTCCTAATGTCTATTCTAATAGAAGAATGATGAGAAAATAATAATATAGATTAGTTTTGATCTCTACTCATTTTGCCTTCTGGTTATATTACAACTAGCTGGTGACAAAATGGCTGTGTAAATCTTGAAATCACTGAGCATTCATTTTAGCTATTCATTGAAAGGCATATATTCAGTATGAATTGTAAACTGGCATTAAGGAAGAAAGTAGAAATAATCAGACTTGATCTGAGAGTTACTTGCTGGTACAATTACTCAATGCATGGTAATATCTTTATGAAGATGCAGAATGCAAAAGTGGTTTTGGAGGTGGATAAGGAGAGCACCTTACTGAGAATGGGATTTTTTGAGGCGGTTACATAGAGCACTCTACTATTAAAATAAATATTTGGCTCTGGAAAATGGATAGAAAAACAGATTTTGGAGTCATTTTCAGTGCTTATGAGGGAGTAGATGTGTTTACTTGGGGCTTGCTGGGTTCAAAGATGTGACCTTGGGTTACATCGTTGTTGAAGGAAGAAAGGAGCAAAAAAATCCAATGAAGCAGATGTTATTCTTTGTTTTTGCTTATGCTGTCTTGAATTTTACAGTTCTTTTTTATATATTTGTGGAATTTTAGCTCATCCTTTAAAGTGATGTTCACATCACCTCCTCCAGTGAGACTTTCCTAGTGCTATTTGTCAAAATATTTTTTTCTCTCTATGTTCGCTCATAGTTGTCTGCGAATTGGGTCTAGTTTACCCTTTAGATTATAAGCATCTTTAACAGTTGCCAATGGAAATAACATATTTAAATTTATGTTGCCTGAAATTAGTAGATACTCTTGGGGAGCGTATTTTCAAATCTAGTACACAGTTTCAAGAGGACTTGCCATCTTTTAAAAATAAATTAAGAGATACCTGATTAAACTTGGTGGATTGAACACATATATTTGCTTTCTGAAATCACAAGCAATTAAGAAGTAATTTTTTCTTTCAAGGCATAACTGATAAAGATGAAAAAGACAGGGAAAGGAGAAAATAGCAGTAAAATTATTTTAGAAGCTGGCAAACAGAAGGACCCTAACTTAGCTGTCTCCAAATAATTGTATTCATAGCACTGATAGAGGAAGTCAAAGGCAACCCAGTTCATACTGTGGATCCCCTGAAGGCCGATTAGTTTGCCAGATACTTCTGGAAATGGGTATGAGAATTTAGCTGAGAACATGAGAACTGGTTGATAATCTGTTTAGAAGCAGAAGTTTCTTCCTCCTTTTTGCTGAGTGACATTCCTGAACCTCACAGTACTAAAAGTTACTCTCTGGAGGAAGGGGACAGAGGGTTTCTGTACTTGAGGAAATAAGAGGCCGAATTTCATGAAGGGTACACATTATGAAAGAGTTAAGTGAAAGTTAAGTAGTTATTATTGTGACCTACTTTCTTTCCTCCTCTGCTCCTCTCCTCTTTCTTTCAGAACAGGGTAGCCAGTCACATGTTCTGCACTTAAAAGTTTAGAAGATTCTTCTTAGGGAAATCTGACAAACCCAAGAGGTGGGGAAAAACAACAGCAAAATCTAAATATGTTAATATCAGCAATTCCCCTGATAAAATGGCTTGGTTGAAAGCTCAATCTGTGTTCACAGTGCTTTTTTTTTCTTTTCTTTTTTTTTTTTTTTTTTTTTTGAGGCAGAATCTCTCTCCATCACCAGGCACTAGGCTGGAGTACAGTGGCGTGATCTCGGCTCACTGCCACCTCTGCCTCCCAGGTTCAAGCAATTCTCCTGCCACAGCCTCCCAAGTATCTGGGACTACAGGCACGTGCCACCACACCCAGCTAATTGTTGTGGGGTTTTTTTTTTTTTAGTAGACACGAGGTTTCACCATGTTGGACAGGATGGTCTCGATCTCATGACCTTGTGATCTGCCCGCCTCAGCCTCCCAAAGTGCTGGGATTACAGGCATGAGCCACCACGCCTAGCCTACAGTGCTCTTAATGGTTTTGTGTGTGTGTGCTCTAGTTTAAAATCTGAGTATATAGTTAAAGGTAGAAATCTCTAGCCAAAAAAGAAAGAGAATAAAACAGGCAAGCAAACAAAATACCTTAAGAGAAATGAGAAAAATCAATACATATGTAAAACAAAAATAGGATGCTGTACGAAAGGAAAAAAGGGGAATATGTTCTTTGAGATTGAAAATAGAAGATCACAGGAGGTGGGAGGCAAGGGGAGGGATAGTATTAGG